TAGTTATGACTGCTAAAGAAACTTATAAATGTTAATGATCACCCAATTATCATCAAGAAAGAAACCAGAATTGGAACCTATGTACCAGTAACTTCCATTAATCGTCAGACAACAACTTTTGATAACGACAAATTCGAACAAATGATTGTAGTTGCTGGTCTATCTCTGAATTAATTGGAGAAACAGAAAATAAAGAAATTTCTTCGAGGAGATCGTGACATTCTTTTATCAAAAGAAGGAAAAACAGAAAGAACTTCTGTTGGAAAACATAAAATTGGCATGCCAGGCCGATTCTTCAATCAGATCGAAGATAACCAAAGGCCAAGAGAAAGGAAGTTGAAAGGATTTTTCGGGAAATGGAAGAAGACAGGGTGCTAGAACTTTATACCAGCCCATGGGTCTCTCTGATAGTCCTGGTTCAAAAAAGGATGGAACTACGAGATTCTGTGTGAATTACCGTCAGTTGAATAATGTTACCAAGAAAGACAGTTATGATCTGCCTCACATCGACGATATTTTGGACATATTGGCTGGAAGTAGACTATTTTCTACTTAAGACTGACAGTCTGGATATTGGCAGGTGGAAATGGACCCAGTAGATTAAGAAAAGATAGCTTTTACCCCAGGATCTGGATTGCGGCAATTCAATGTCATGCTACTTGGACTGTGTAATGCTTCCGCGATATTTGAAAGACTTATAGAAAATGTATTATGAGGGTTATCCTGGAAAATGTGCACACGCACACGCACACGCACACGCACATGTACACGCACCCGCACATGTACACGCACCCGCACATGCACACGCACACTCACAAGCACATGCACACGCACACTCACAAGCACATGCACACACGCACCCACGCACACACGCACCCACGCACACACGCACACCCACACACACGCACACGCACACGCACACGCACACGCACACGCACACGCACACGCACACGCACACGCACACACACGCAAACGCAAACGCACACGCACACGCATACGCACACACACACGCATACACCACACACACACACACACACACACACACACACACACACACACACACACACACACACACACACAAACACACACACACACACACAAACACACACACACACACACACACACACACACACACACACACACACACACACACACACACACACACACACACACACACACACACACACACACACACACACACACACACACACACACACACACACACACACACACACACACACACACACACACACACACACACACACACACACACACACACACACACACACACACACACACACACACACACACACACACACACACACACACACACACACACACACACACACACACACACACACACACACACACACACACACACACACACACACACACACACACACACACACACACACACACACACACACACACACACACATACACACACACACACACACACACACACACACACACACACACACACACACACACACACACACACACACACACACACACACACACACACACACACACACACACACACACACACACACACACACACACACACACACACACACACACACACACACACACACACACACACACACACACACACACACACACACACACACACACACACACACACACACACACACACACACACACACACACACACACACACACACACACACACACACACACACACACACACACACACACACACACACACACACACACACACACACACACACACACACACACACACACACACACACACACACACACACACACACACACACACACACACACACACACACACACACACACACACACACACACACACACACACACACACACACACACACACACACACACACACTACCGTAGAAAGTTCGCCAGCTTTTAACTTAACAACTTAAGACTTTACAGTCAGCCAATGAGATAATTCTGAGTTCAGTATGTGATAACTGTCAATTATTCTTTTTTTTTATAAACGAATGGACAAATACCATTTGTAAACTATCATTCTTTTTTTTATGGACATACATTAACATGAATGATTTGTCTTTATGTTATTGGAAATAAACTATTTATGATATGAGTGTTGCCACATATACCTATAAACATCAAATCTAGAACTGAAATAAGACACAAAATTAGTTTGCTAGGAAATATTAAATTCTCATTATTTTATTATATTTTTATATTATTGCTTTTAAAGTAGTTAATATATTCTTTCTATATAGCAAAATCATAATTTATAAGTTTTCTTTAGAGGTTAGGTACATGGTTTACACTTGTTTCATAAGGTTGTCAGTAATTTGATAATCTCTAAAATACAACACGCATGCTCAACTCTTACATTACGGACATTTATAAATAGACTTTATTTTTAACCGACTTCAAAAAAAGAGGAGGTTATCAATTCGTCGCGCATTTTTTTTTTTTTATATATGTTCAGCGATTATTCTTTAACACGGTGTCCGATTTTAATGATTCTTTTTTGTTAAAAAGGGGGTACTTTAGGGGTGGTCCCATATAAATTTATTTAAAATCTAATAATTGGGTCCATGAGAAAATCCTCAAACTCTTCATTTTTTATGTATGTTTAGCGATAATGCTTTACCACCTTGTCCGATTTACATGATTCTTTCTTTGTTGGTAAGGGGACACCTCAGGGGTGGTCCCATATAAATTTGGTTAAGATGTGGTGATGGCATCTGCATGTTTTTGAAGTCAGTTTTTTAAAATTTTTAATTTCTAATACTTGTTATTAACCGACTTCAAAAAAGGAGGAGGTTCTCAATTCGTTGCGATATTTTTTTTATGTATGTTCAGCGATAATTCTTTAACACGGTGTCCGATTTCAATAATTCTTTCTTTGTTGGAAAGGGGGTACTTCAGGGGTGGTCCCGTATAAATTTTTTCAAAATTTAATAATTGGGTCCATGAGAAACTTCTCAAACTCTTCATTTTTGTATGTATGTTTAGCGATAATGCTTTACCACCTTGTCCGATTTATATGATTATTTCTTTGCCAGTAAAAGGGTACCTCAGGGGTGGTCCCATATAAATTTGGTTAAGGTGTGGTGATGGCATCTGCACTTTTTTGAAGTCGGTTTTTTTAAATTTTTAATTTCTAATACTTGTATCTTACGTTAAGTTTCTATAGCGTTAAGTTGGGTTAAGTTACAGAGGTTATAAATTATACTTAACACCTGTGTATGGTTCCTTAAGACTATTCACTGGTCCATAGAACTTTCACGAGGTCTGTCTTCTGTGTTCCGGAAGAAGTTTTGTCGATTGCCAGAACTTCAAAGCCAGTAACCAGCCCTTTGAGAAGCCTTAAAACTTCAAGATGGGTCGAAATAACTTTTCTATTTGGTAACTGAAGTACTGAAGTTCAATGTACAGAAAAGATAGATAACAACCAGCTGAATCGGAGAATAAATAAATACTAGTCTGCAGCCGTTTTTCTAATGTCCAGGTTTCAGCAAAAACGGTGTCTTGTTATTTCCATAAAAATGCATATTGAAAAAGTGGGTCCAGTTGCAGATACAGCCATTCAGTTTTAGTTCCAGGAGGAACTATCTCTTAAGGAGGAGTCAATGTTGTGCGATCGCTTGAAACCGACTATCTACTCTATTTACCTTTACCACGTTGGACATAGCTGTTTGTCAATATTGAATACTTGAAAAAGTAAATAGAATATTTGTTGCACGCAGGCAACGCGAGGAAGAACTACCCTGGGTTGGTTCTTTCTAGCGTGTTAAATTTTTATACAAAGAGCGCGACTTTTATAGAAGTTAAGTTTAAATATAAATGTTGTCAAGTAAAGATAAATTGTTAAAAAAATCAAAAGTGTGAATTAAAATAGAGCCTAAATGTAAATAAATTTATTAGTAACTGCTGTAAATAAATTAAAAATAAACTATTTTTAAATTAAACAATCGTTACACTATTATAATCGAACATCCAGGTTCATTAACAGGTATTTTACTATATTATAGTGTAACATCTTCTTAATATTTATAATCATTATTTGTCTTATTTTCTTTAGTGTATGTATGTATTCTTGAATCAAAGGCAGTAGAAATTTTGAGAGATGAATGAGACAAAATACCAATTTTGTACATTGTAGACAAAGAAAAGAGCCGGTATTCTATTTCCTCGAACTTAATAATAGCTATCCATTTACATTATTACATGTCTGTTGGAGTTTATCTACAGTCTCATCGTTATCATGCCTCACTGCTGGGATAGTTGTATTAGCAGCATAAGTAACGATCGTCACATGTTCGGTATTTGATATAACAGGCACAGCACTGGTCCTAGCACGCTGCCTTGGGATACACCTGCGTTAACTCCAGAAATATGTGTAAAATGTTAATTTAACTAAGTACTTAAAAGTGCTCTACATTTAATTTCATTAAATCTCTTTATTTTGAATACATGTTTTAACAAATTTTGTTAGAATTTGTTTTTACTGTCTTTACAGTGACAGACCTGCAGTTTGGCTCTTGCTGGACAGTTGCCTAATAAAAGAAAGTACAAATTTGACTAACCGAAATAAAAAAGAAAGGTGGGATGGATGCTGTAAAAGCAGTGAGGCTCTGGTCCATGTTTACGGTTTGAGTGGGTGACTGAACTTGCACAGCTCGAAGCTCACTTAGACTGTAGAATGAATGAAAGAAAACATAAGCTGAATGCATAGGAAAAAGTAAAATATCCAAATTGCTGAACAGCAGGCCTGATTAATATGCTGGAACCTCTTAGGGGGAGCAGATGGATGCTTGAAAGAGTAAAAAAAAACAAAATGAATAATTTGAGTTTTTCAAATATGACTGAGGTTAGTGCCATCTCTCCTGCATAAAGCTACCACTAGATAATTGGTAGTAATCGTTGTAACCTAATTTTTGAGAATAAAATTGTCGAACATATATTACTTGATTCATATTTTATTTTACTGTGATGCTAATATATTTTTTTTACATTTTCAGACAAATTAGGTACAGAATACATCGCCAGAGGATGTGTTCCCCTAGGTACTGTCAGTTGTGCTGCCTTATCTAAAGCCGTCGGATGGATTTCCTACCAAAGAAATGGCGATCCTGAAGTACTACAAAATTTGACCTGCAAAACCTGTGAAACAGACAAATGTAACTGGGCCACCTAGTTGGCCGGGTTTACACTTGTTGAAATTTTATTATCGTCTGCCGCTTTCATGTAGCTTTCATGTAGCTTTCATGTAGCTTTCATGTAGCTTTCATGTAGCTTTCATGTAGCTTTCATGTAGCTTTCATGTAGCTTTCATGTAGCTTTCATGTAGCTATCGTGTAGCTATCGTGTATCCATCGTGTAGCTTTCACGTAGGTTTCATGTAGCTTTTATGTAACACTTTCATGAATCTTTCATGTAGCTTTTCATGCTTTCGTGTTTAGTTAATTGTTTTGTGTTACTCTGCAATTTTTAGCTCTGTCTAGAAAAACAAAAGCAAATATATTTTATTAATTTCTATTCATTTATTTATTCCTACGCCACTCAACAGAAACCAATTGCTGAGTGAAAGTAATCACAATATAAAAACTAGCGCACAAAGAAAAATATTGTAAATATTCAGTTGAAAAAGAAAAAAATACAGAGCTTAGTTTAGACAGATAATATGTATATATGTAAAGCTATTCTTTTATCTACTATGAAATAAGTCAAGCTGGTCACTGAATTTATTACAAATATGACAGTTTGTAAACTGGCGAATTAAATAAAATATTAGTTCACGAGTCAGTAGTTAAAATAAATCAGTCGTGCGAGAAGTTTAGCGTGGAATCAGAAAGTTCATATTTCCAAAAAGGGCTGGATCATACATAATATTGTTTCATAACTTGTACGTAAAGATAACAGCATAGCATTGTCGACGAGCACTGAGACTTTTCATTCCATGATTCATAAGTAATAATTCTTGTGCCGTACCTCTGGGAGGATATAATTCTTTATTTACGAATGATAAATACTTTATGAAGCGTCTTTTAACATATTTAACATTATCAATGTTTACCGAGAATAGGGATACCAACCTATAGATGCATACTCTAATTTATGCATCAAATAGGGTTTTTAATGTCGAATTGTGTTGAAAATCTCTGCCATTACGTATTACGAAGCTATAGACTCGATTCACTGTGCTAACAATATTTTTAATGTGAGCTATGAAATTTAATTGTTTATCAGACGTCAAAGTGTGGCTAATTGGTTCCTACCAGAGCCATTCAACTAATTTAAAAAAAAATCATTTAATGTTAAGGGCCTTGGAATATGGATGTATTATGGGAAAGGATTTCAACGTATAAGACATAACATTGCATTAAGATGTAATTTTTTATAAGTGCACCATTTTAATACACTATTTAGAGTATTAGTTAACCGAACACAGTCGTCAACATTTGTTATTTCACGGAATGACTTCATATCGTCTGCATATAAAAAATAGTTGACCCGAAATATATTTAAAATATTGTTACACTACACCCTGCAGTGGCCTGCGGCCGTTATATGAAACGTACATATATGAAAAGAAGTGCAATGTCACCCATCACACTATAGTGTGCTGCGGTCGTTATAAGTAAAAGTACAAGTAAAAGAAGATGGAATAGTCCAGAAATGTCTGGAAATGTCATTAACCGTCAAGAATATTCTAGAGAAGAGTCAAGCAAGCTATATAAGGATGATCCTGACGTCAGTTTTCAGTTTTATGATAGACGTTACACGTTAATCAGAGATTAGAGACATAAAGATAGGAAACGCAACGACCCCAATAACGATGGCGTCATCTATGCGTCTCAGATGTTAACTAAAAATGTACGTCGTTTACAAACAGACCAGTGTTGCCAAATATTTTTTTTAAGAGATCGCACAAGTAGAGTAGAAAAATGATATTTCGACAAACAAATCGTAAAATAGGTTTATGTTTAGCATTATATAGCTTAAATAGAATGAATAAATAAAAAAAAACTTTGGCATGACAATTTGTTTATCTATTTATAAAAATGTTTACAACAAAAAAAAAACTAAAGAAAATACATGAAAAATGACTGCCTTCAGAAATTACGAACGGCCTATGAATCTTTGAAAGTAGTTTTTGATTTTTATTGTTTTATGTTGTGAAGTTGTTGCAGATATTTAAATAAACCCAATAAAAATGTGAAGATCATATTTTTACGTACGATTTCACTGATGCAATCGTACAGAGAGATAAAAAAATCTTATAAATACGATTTAAATCGTATAGTTGGCAACACTGAGACAGACAGTAGACGTGGACAGCAGTGGACAGTGACAGTTTGTTAATGTAAATGGCAGTTAGTTTTATGTATATCGAAGAATCCTGAATTTAAATTTTTAATTTTGAGTTCATGATTGTGTTATCCTGCACATGGACTAGGTGAAATGGTTGTGGCTATTTTTGTGTGAAATTTGAGGACAATAATTATATTTTGTAATATTACAATAAGTTGGAGAAGGTATTGCATTAGTAACACATGCCACATGAATAAATTTAACAACTTCAATATGGCGTTCTTTAATTAACCAAAGTAAGATCTAGTCATGTAAGCAATAAAAATATGAACCAACTTTTATCACAAAGTAGGTATTTATGTATTATTTATTGTTTTAGAACAAGAATATGGCTCCAAAACGTTAGAAAGAAGATTTGACATAGGAAGAAAAATATCTGACTTCCCATTATTAAATTTGCACTCAAAATTTTTAAATAAGACACCATTGGTCATTCGTTTGGAAAATAAAAACAGAAATGTAATGCTACAAATAACGATCAAAAATTAAAAAATATTTGTCAAGAATAGATTTACAATAATTAATCGATAATAGACTGTAAGTGTAGTATTCTTTTTAATAAATAATTTAGCGTAATTACATTATTTAAATTTATTTCCATGAACATGAGAATGCAGTCGATATTTATACAACCTTTATTATCAGGTTTTTAAATTTCCCGCTACATTATTTGATATCGATGAAAGCGCCACATAGTGGGTCAGATGTTAACTGCGTTAAAGCTGGTCGTTGTTAAGCATTAGCTTCTTATGAGCGTTTCCTATATTTATCTCCCTTATCTCTGACGTTAATGTTATCAGTTCCATTGTTATTGTTAAAGTTCAGTTAAAATAAATTGTGATACCAAAAACCAGTGTAACAATATCTGAAAAAATACCGGTGTTACTTCCAAATATTTCTTTGGTAAAAATGTTCTGTAGCATATGTCGCTGGTGTTAGAAGAATTGGGTTCTTTTGTAGAAATAACTAACGAGTCATAGGTCGTAGAAAAAGAAGTGTTTTTAATTTACTATTTTCACTGAAGTAAATACATACTGGTTGATTCCATTTAGATATAATAATTTTCTTATCTTCACTAAACAGTTTTAAATATTTACAATTTCAGTTCATCACAATTTTATTAACAAATACAGTTGATTTTTTAGTTACCAACTTGAAAACATTTGTTTGTAGAATTTCTTATGCCATAATAATTGTAGAAGATATAACTTGCACCAGAAAATAAACTGCATTAAACGCTTGTAAAAATGTAGGAAGTAACGTGCCGTCGGCAGGAAGCACCTGAACTCGTTTGTGGCACTAAGACAACTACTGAATGATGGCAAACATACAACTGTACTCCTCGCGTCGAGCTCACCCAAATATATACTGTTGGGACGCAATGAGTGTCCGGGGCATAGTTCACGCACCTATTCGGTTTCAACCAATGAAAACATCATGACATAATGAAATACGTCATTTGTGCTTCGTTAACTATGCGCCGGACACTCACTTTGTTCCAATGCACAGCTGTGCACTTAAAAACACAGGTGTTCGACGTTCGGTATTCTGAGATAAATGCTATTTATAGTTTTATGACTTCACATTATATTAGGGTAAGAAGCAGTCGAACTATTTGAGAATTGTTTATTTATTTAGTAGGTGTAAAATATTAATTTGTTGATGTTTTTACTGGTGAAATTGTAGAATTTAACCATACTGGCGCGCGCAACACAAAGGAAAACAACATTAAATGATGAGAAATTAAAATGAATAACAATGATAAAAATATCTTTGAAAAACTCGAAGGACGAGCCAGTGTTATCGCACTGACACGATGTATGAATAACAAAGTTTAGTTTCTCAGGTGTTTGTTGCGCAAGCCACGCATGATTTCAAACATATGACAGATTCATAAAACGAAAACCAAGTTGATAAACAATAAGTAAGGAAAAATAAAGGAAAAATAGCGTAAGGTTATTGACCAGGTCACTCGCGAATCTATCCCAGATCAAGATCCTAGCGTTTCCTTTCGTAGAGCATTTGGATTCGACCTAATCCAACTGCGTATTTAATAACCTTATGCGAAAGTAGGTACCTAACTTAAAATCTAAAGCTCGGTGTTGGGCACAAGGGACAATTTGACAATTGGTCTCACGTAGACTCCATCTTGGGTTTTGATGCGCACTGAGCGAGATTTGCCATCCTTTCCAGGGATTAACTCCAATATCCTTGCCAAAGGCCACTTTAATGGAGGGGTGTCATCTTCCTTTAACAATACTAAATCATTGATTTTGAATTCAGGTGTAGGCTCCATCCATTTGGGCCTGTTCTGTAACCTGTTAAGGTAATCGACTTTCCATCGGTTCCAAAACGATTGTTGTAACTTTGAGCATTGTTGTCAAAATTTAAGGCGATTGGAAGGAATCTCGGCGAGATTTTTTTCTGGAAAGGACAGCAAGGGCGCGCCTATAAGAAAATGTCCTGGTGTAAGTGAGTTGAGATCTGAAGGATCGTTTGATAAGGGGCAAAGCGGCCCACTATTCAAGACAGCTTCTATCTGTGAGAACACAGTTGATAGTTGTTCAAAGGTGAAAATAGAGTTTCCCATGAGCCTAACAAGGTGGTATTTTGCACTTTTTATTGCAGATTCCCACAATCCACCCCAATTTGGTGAATGTGGAGGAATGAACTTCCACTCTGATTCAGTGGCAAGAAGGTAAGACTGGATTGACTTCATATTATCGTCATTAACTAGAAATTGATGAAGATCTCTAAGCTGATTTTTGGCTCCTTGAAAATTTGTGGCATTGTCACTGTAAATGAG